TCCCATTTCTGTTGATCTTCATATAAAAGTTTTCTTTGGGGGTAGGCACATTTAGCTTTCCAGCTCTTGATGTCTCTGGAGAAGTACCTAAACAAAGGTGAGTGGGGGAAGTACTTCCAGAGCAGCACAGAGAAGACAGCTTTGTACTGATAAAGGGCAGAAAAATAAACCCATGAGATTTCAAGGCTTTGCTTTAAATTCTTCTCCAAAAAGCTGTGGGAAAACTATTACTAAAATGTCAAAAGAAAAAAATAATCTGGACGTTTCCAGGCTTTCTATTTTCTTGCTGCAAGAATCTACAATAACAACTTTATGTTCATATTACTGATAAAAACTCACTGCTTGTTAAGTGGAACTTCACTGATGTCCCTGATCCTCTACCAGGAAATACTGCTGGTTCAAGATTTTCATGTGAAAGTAGAAACCACTCCTCACAATCTAGTGTCTTGCCTTACCACAATAAAGGTATTTACAGAGCAATAACATTCTACTACTAAATAATGAAAAACCCATTTTAAGTGTTAGCTTTGTTCAAACATTCAGCAACAATGTGTCATTTTGTATCATAATACATGGGATTAGACTGTTGTGTTTAGATAGATAGTAAAATCTAATAAGCAATGAACTATTTCCACTTACGAAATTTCAAACATAAACAAACATATTTTTGCACAAAAGGAAAGGAGATTGAGACTCAAACAGCCTGGAAAGGCAGAAATGTTGATGGGAATAGCAGTCTTTCCAGTGATTGATGACAGAGATAATGATTCATACATCCATACACTTAAATGGTTGTCTTTGCCCATGACTGCTGTCTAATTAATGTGAGCCATCATTCACGTAAAAGAAAATTTTTGCTTCTGGAAAAAAAAACCCCGCTGCAAACTGCCAGCAGTGACAGTGCTAGAAACATGCCAATTAAAGTGATTTCTGCCAAGCAGCAAAAGGGCACAAAACACTGGTTTCCAAGCAACTGACATTATGAAGTATCAAATACATTGGAAACTAATATTGGCAGATAAACATTGCACCTTCTCGGTTAGTACTGCCTCAGTATCTTTGCTTCTTAACTCTACATTGCCTCTCCTCCCTGCTTTTGTAGACACCACTGTATCTTCCAGTAAACCATATGCATTAAGGAATGCCAACTTACCATAATCTCTAAACACTAACAACTTTTTTTGTCTGCATATATTAGAATAGGATCAGTATAGATTCACAGGTAAGGACAGACAAGGTCATAAGCAAACCACCAAAAATAACACATTTCTTGCCATTTAAAATCTTCTGGTAGGAGCTGCCATTTCAACCATAAAATTTAAACAGTTTTGTATTAAAGTCAGCTACACAGCCACTAGCAGGAAAAGAAGTAGGAGAAACGGCTCCTTGGGTAACGGTCAGTCTAACTGTTGTTGCAGGCATAAAGAATGCAATAGTAGAGGCTGGGCTTTCTGCATGCAGAGTGACTTTTGGAGATCTGCCTTCAGGAAACTTGAACCATTTTAAAGAGCCATCCAGTTTCCAATTTAAACCATAAAAAGCAGCCAGCTGAATACTGTTAAACTGCCAGCAATTTGACATTTAGCTTTCTTTAACTAGTGCAGCACAGAGCTGTTTTCTTCAAACTACGGGAAATAAAATACAGAGGTTTAGCATGCCCTTTTTGCAAGTAAAGGCTGGACTGGCTCATGGAATGGCATGGACACTTCCCCTTTGAGCTTGCAGCTCAAAGCTGTGGATTCCTAGACATCATCGGCTGAGGATGACCACAACTTGTCATTTTTACATGGGCACCTATGCTTAGATGACTGTCACTGCACAGTTTCCAGTTTCTGTCACCTTTCCTACCTCCTTTTTACACGAAGGCAGTGTTTTCAGCTAGTCTCATTTGAAGCAATATGCTTATTTTTAAGCACTATTTTTTGTGGCGATGTTTAACAACACGAGTAATTTCAGTACACTTGCATGGTCTTGGTGGGCTGAGTTAGTCTACAGAAGTGATTTATAGCAACCTGCTTTTATTACGGATTAACAGCTACAAGCTTCCAATGCTTTGGTAACCTCTTTTGCTGTGTAACTGTTCCTACGCCTTCCTACAATTTATTAGTTATAAAGACTTCTACTTTCTTGGTTCTCATACAATACATCCTCATGCAAGTGTGGATTACTTAACATTATTTCTGGATCCCATTTACAGATGTCATTGGAACAAAGCAGTATGAAAGGATCTCCCTCAGAGCTGAATGTCATTTCAAAGGGACTGTGCTTTTTGAGTTTGCTTAGTTGTAGTATGAATAGCAACAGAAATGAAAACATAATTCTTAGCTCAAAGCTAAAGATATTTGAATGCTCAAGGACAAAGGTGGTGTCTTTTCTGCCATACTGTATTCTACCCACTGAATCTGACATTGGGAAGTACTTAGTCAAGTAAGTCAGAGCTACTTTGTGTCTACATGGGCAATCTCCACTGGAAGTAAGATGTATTGATCTACAAAGGAAGAGGAATGATCATTATCTACAGATTTCCCAAATGGTTTTTCATTTTATGCTGCACAAAGATAAGCAAATTGCTTCCTATATTTTAATGCTGTGTTTAGGTAAAATGGTTTCTGAGACCTGACAGGTGTCTCCCTAAAGTGACTGGGTACAACTCATTAGTAGGGAAGAGCTGGTACGACTTTCTACTTGGGAGTAGTGACTGATAGTTTTGAAAGATGAGTAGTCTGAGCAACCTCTGCGTTCTGTTATCATCCTCTTTTGTATCATCATGAGGACTCAAGAAAGTATAAGAGAATATTACTGAGAGGAGGTATGAGGTCATAATTATAAGGTTTATCTTCAGTTTAATTATGCTTTTAATGTGTAAGGTAGAATATTAAGCAGCTAAGTCTGTTCCAGTAATGACTCTTCAAACATTTGAGATAATTTTAAAATTCATACTGCTGTGCTATGTCACTGTGATCATCAAAAAAATTCCTCACAGTTTGTTCCATTATACTCTCTCATACAAACAAGCTGCAAGATCACAGGCACTACTTCCTGCGAATATGTATCAATTAATGTCCAATTAAGACAACTGCTGGGTGTTCCTTTTCAATCAGGAGGAGGAAAAGCACGAAAGCCCAAATAAGCAAAGGTCATTTGTATTCACTGACTCCCCGTACTATGTATTAGCATGCTGCTCTGGTAGCCCAACTGCTTTAATTGAAATTAAAAGTTGCTGCCCTGGAGAAGAAAACTCCAGTTTTCTTCTTTCTTTCTTGCATTTTCCACTCTGCTTCTTTTTGCTAAAATGGCTCCTTTTCTATAGTCTGAAATTGTTACTAAGAAGTATTGCTGACATGTCCTTTGGTCCAAACCAGCAGTGCAGTCATTCTCACTTGAAATTACCTTTTCCCGCAACTTCACATCTCAATATTTGGTTAAAAAGTCTGTGGGTTTGATTTCTTTACTTTTCTTACTGTTCTTTTTTCTACATGCAGATTTAGCCAAAGTAGCATTGTGCAAACACTCAAGATGAATGGCTAGCACATTTTCATTGTTAAAAGGTCATACAATGACACTCAAATTTTCAGGCTTACACAACACAATAAAAATTTAAAAAACAGTTAATGTATACCTTCGATTTCCAGATATTAAGTCTGTTGGATATTTTTCTGCATACTGGGTCATTTGGCTACTGTACATTTCAGAAAGCATTAGAGAAAGTGAGTTCATATTTCAAAAAAATCTGTTTCCCTGACTTTTCTCAAGCAGATTTCTCCAGGGCCATTATAGCTCATATCATACTTCTCTTCTTAAATAATATAAAATATGTGGGATTCATGATTTAATTGCCACAGTAACTAAAATAGATTATATTAGGTGTGTTACAGGATCGCTACTGAGATTACAATGTAAAGAATGTATGGTATTACACGATATGACAGGCAAATTTCATTTGAGCATTTATTCAGACAACAGTGCTTTCCAGAAACCTGTATTAAAGTGACCATTGCCTACACAAGTGCAAAAAGGCACATTTCTCCTGAGTGTACTAAGCAGCTTTGACTAGGCCCTGACCATGCTAAACTTCTGATCTTCAAAAAACAAATGTGTGTAAATATATCATTTACTGTTCAGTAAACGTAAAAAGTAAATATACATTTATTTGTGCAGTAGCACAAGATTAAGTCTTCCCTTTCTTCATCTTCCATCTGTTTCAATTGTCATGGAAAACTTGTGGTCAGGAATATTTCCACCCAGGTATTTGAAATCACATGATGAAGCTAGTTTTGAATGCAACTGTGAATCAAATTTATGGGACCAGAAGAAGATGGCAGAGCTGAAGATGCTTTAACGGGTAGGTATTTTCTTACTTGTCAGCACTTCAAACTCTGCTTGGGATATTAAAGTGGAGTTGGGTTCTTTCCATCTTCCGCATCAGCAGTAAAAAGGATTCTGCAAGCCAAATTAGATATTTAAGAACAATTGCACAACATCACTATCCTCTGCGGGTGTGGCGCAGGTACAACTGATCAGGACATAACAGACAATTCTGCTGATAATGTACATAAAGGAATATAATCTTGTTTTTCCCTTTAGCTGTATTGGCTTCTGGAGTTGAGAAGGAATGAAAGACAAAAATCTGGGTTTTTAATCACTCAGAGAAAAGATATGACTTGTAAATACATTAGGATCAAATCTATTCACATCATTAAAAATCTACATTTAACATAATTTTGCAGATCGCATTACCATTAAAAATTCAGTGGAAGGCAAATCTGCATTTATCATAATGTGGTGCAGGAAACAGAAATGTCTTCAGTTAAAAGTAGGCTAGACTAAACACTTCATCTGTTATAGGAAACAACTGCACTCACCCAGAGTAATGGGCTGGATCTCTTAAGAAGTCTTTCCCTGGAGCTTCTAATTTAGTAGGCCAATTTTGAAAATAAAAACAAAAATCAGAAACGGAGGCATCACTGAAGTCTAGAAGAATAAGTAAGGCATTTACTTACCTGAGACACCCATGTTCCAATTGTAGCTGTTCCAGTGATAAGTACTCTAACATCCCCAATTTGACTTTCATAATTTACCTATGAGAGTAATAATATTTACCCACCTAATACCTAGCAGTGCTGCAGAGAAGAATAAGATGATGCTTGCATGTACTTGAGTGCTAGGCATTGTAAGATTTATCAAACTAACATCCCTAAAAGCATAAGACAGTGGTAATAAGATTATAAATCTAAAAATAATTTAAATGAAAATGCTAAGAAAAAATATGCCCTATATGTAACAAAAAAATTTTTTTTGCTTTCAGTAACAAAAGCAATCCTCATTCACACTCTGCCATCCATACCAATTTAAAAGCTATATATTTATGCAGTGAGTTTAGTTCAGATACATTGCCTAGTTTCCAATTCCAATTTACTTGCCACAGCTACAGAGAGGTCAAGTGATTTGCACAAAGGTATGTAAAAAGTTAGCTGCTCAGCCAAGAGTTAGGATCAATATCTTGACCCCCCCTTCCCCCCACTCACCATTTTTGACCTCCCCATATAGCACTCAACACAATGCTGTAATAGTCAGAAACAGGGAGCAGAAGAAACAGACTGTGTAGAGAGGCAATCTATTTTTTTCCCTTCTTCTGGCATGGACAAATCATGTCCAGCTTCACTTTGTACCACCGTTATCCTACACGGAGCTTCTTTAGCACATGAAAAAACTTAACTTTAAAAAGCATGGCTTTTCATGCCACTGAATCCTTCAGATTTAGTCCCTCACATAAAAAGCGCAAAACATTGCCTTCTAGGAAAGCAGTCCTGTATCATGTTACTCACTATAATATCGAAGAAGATCTAGATTTTTATAAAATCAAATTTAATGTCATAGGTTTCTACAATTATAGGATTAGAAACTCACTCTTTGTCTACTGAATTGGAGAGAATTTCAAAGCTGTGGAAAAGCTCAGCTGATCCTAAACATCTCGAGGTTGGCCAAGGTACACAAAAATGCCATGGAGCTCCTAATGGCATTTCAAAAGTACATTTCCCAACAAGTATCAAATCAAGACCCCCTCATGTTAACCTACCAACAGAGTGACGCTTCATTTGTTCAAACTGTAAATTGTAATGAAATGAGTAGTCCAGCTTGCTTCATCCAAACGTCTACAAATCAATTTGCTAAGATTTTAAAAATCAAACCTTTTAGTACCAATGGTGATGGTAACTTTCATCCAGAACACTTGCAAGTATTTTGTTTCCTACTCATTTGAAAATAAAGAATGTAAAGCAACCAAAAGCAAGCTCCAAGCACCTGCAACTCATATATCAAGAAGTAAACTGATCTTTGGCAGGTTATCATCAAAAGAACTTTAACTTGACCTGAAGAA